ACTAATTTCTTACAAACTTGATGTTGTATTGTTTGCAGATTTAATTATTGAGTTTATTCCCTGAAAATATCTTATAGTCGGTCCTCAGTTTCTGCAGGTTCCACATCCACGGATTCAACCAACTAAGGAATGTTTGTATGAGCATTGCTTGCCTCATGACTCGTTTGTTTGCTACTTGAGTTGTGCACACCTTTTTTTTCTTGTCATTATTCCCTAAACAATACAGTATAGCAACTATTTACATAGTATTTACATTGTATTAGGTATTACAAGTAATCTAGAGATGATTTAAAGTATATGGGAGGATGTGTATAGGTTATATGCAATTGCTATACTGTTTTATATAAGGGACTTGAGCATCCAAGGATTTTGGTATTCATAGGGGGTCCTAGAACCAATACCTGATGGATATCAAGGGACGACTGTACTTGTACCTTATGATTGCCTGTGTTGTTGCATTTTTTGGAGATCTCTCTTATCTGTCTATCTGTCTGTCTGTCTTTCTATCTGTCTATCAGTCAATCTATCTGTCATCTGTCTCTCTGTCTGTTTATCTATCTATCTATCTCCGTGTATAGATGTGACTACTTATTTAATGTTTTTGCCTTTCTATTTGGAGCACTCCCTTGAGTAATACTTGCAAAGCTGGTCTGGTACTGGCAAATTCCCAGAGCTTCTGTTTGCTTGGGAATGTTTGACTTTCCCCTCACTTTTGAATTATAACTTTGCTGGGTAAATAACTCTTCATTGGTAATTGTTTTTGTTTAGTGTTTTATATATGTTGCTCCATCGTCTTCTGCCCTCTAGAGTTTCTGGGAAGGATTCCACACTCATTCTTATAAAAGACCCTTGGCATGTTATATTGCATTTTTCTTTTGCTCCTTTCGGAACTCTCTCCTTGTCTTTGGTTTTCAAGAATTTTATTAGGGTATGGTGCAGGGTTGATCTTTTTGTGTGTCTTCTAATTGGGGTTCATGTAGCTTCCTGTATTTTCCAGCTTGGTTTTCTGTTCAGGTCTGGGAAATTCTCTCTGATTATCTCCTGGAAAATTGTTTCTATGCCTTTATTGCTGTCACGGTGCTCTGGGATTGAATAATTCTAACGTTAGATTTTTTAATCAAATCCCATATTTCCGTTTGGCTTTGTTCACTCTTCTTTGTTCTTTTCTCATTTCTCTTAAGACTTGATAAGTTCAGTTATTTCTTCTTGTTTATTTATTCAATCTTCTGTCTGACTCTATTTCTGAGTGTTTCTCTTGCTTTTTCTAATTCAGTTGGTTTATTCTTCAGTTCCAGTCGTTCTCTCACTCTTTTTTTTTTTTTTATGTTTTTAATTTCCTTGTTGAGTCTTTCATTTTGTTCCTCCATTTGTTTCCTGGCTTCTGTTAGTTTGTTTTCTGTGTGCTTTTTGCTTTCTTGAAACATATTTAGCAACATAGTCTGAAAATTAAGAATTCTTTCCATTAATTTGGCCTCCATAGGAGAAACTGCCTCCTCTTCATGTTTTGCTTTTGACTGGTCCTTTTTCTCTTGTGATTTTGTGTGTTTAACTATTTTTTTGTTGTTGAAATCGGGCCATTTTGTCATCTTTTTTTTTTCTTTTTTAACTGTAAATGGTATTCCGGTTTTTGTGGGAAAATTTTATGATTGGGCACCTTAGTGGCTCAGTTGCCAAGTGCCCAGCTGCCAACCAAAAGGCCAGGGCCTGCACCCACCAGCTGTTCCACAGGAGAAACATATGGTGGCTTGCCTCTTCAAACTCACAGCCTTGAGAACCACATGGAGCAGCTCCACCCCACCCCACAGGGTCACTGTGAGTCAGAATTAACCCAGAGGCAGAGGGTTTGGTATCTTCTCCTGAGAGCCACTAGAGGGCAGTCTTATCCTTAGGGTTTTTTTTTTTTTTTTTTTTTTTGGTGCTATTTCTGGAGTTCTGGATGCTTGATCTCTGGAACTCAATATGCATGCATAGGGGCAGAAGGTTTTGCTAGTCACAGATGCTGATGTAAGCGATGGGGCTTGACTTTCCTGTGGCCAAGGTGGGGAGCTCTCTCTGTCTTTCCCTCATGGGTGTCCCTGCACAAGCTCGCCAGTGGTTTCTCTCTGTGTTGCCCCATCAGTCTGAAGCATTCTCCTCACCTTGTTGCCCTTGCTGTTCCTCCCAGTCCTAGTGTCTGTCCGTCTTGGGCCTCAGCAAGATTCAGCAGTACTCTCTCACAGCACCACAGTCTTCCTTCACTCCTTCCCAATTGCATGGCCTGTGAACTCCCAAAGTTAATCTGTGCCACCTTAAATAATGAGGCTACAGCTTCCTCAGATTAGCTCCCTTTCTGTGTTCTCTGTTTGAGGTGTTGCCCAGCCCTACCCCAAAATGGCTGAGATGAGTGAGCTCTCCCAATGATAATGGGTTGGTTCTCCCAGCTTCTGTGCCATCCCCACTCCTTTTCTCCCCCGCTTCTGGACTCATTCCTACTCTCCAACACATCAGCTGCTGTCTGGAGTTCTCAGATCTCAGTCTGTGCTTGTTTTTATTCATCGTTCAGTGATTAGTTACTGGGGGAGTAAATGGGAGCATCCACTCAATTTGCCATCTTGCTCCACCCTCTCATCCCATTTCTTTATTTGCAGGTGAATACTTCCTTCCCTGAGCAACTGCAATGGTATACTAATTTATAAAGTAAGGTTCATTGGAAAATATGAGGGACGGTGGTATAAAAAATATATAGATATGTATTTCCTAAGTGTTCCTGGCACTAGCAATGATGGGTGCCTCTTCTAATCCATGGTCAAATGAGCTAGTGTTTTTTATTATATATCAAGTGAATGATAACAAAAATGATGACAGCAACTACGCTTGAGTCTCTACTATATGATATGATTTCTAACCTCTTGTAGATATCAATTGCACCGATTTTGCCATCTTACTGCAAATTGAACCCATTTCTTTTTTCACATACAAAAGTTACTTTACAACTTTTGGATTAGGTTCATTTTGTTTTCCTAAAGCAATACCTACCATAGTTGGTAATAGACTGAAAGATTCACAAAGGAGCCTACCAACCCATAAAGGACAAAGACTGTGAATTTTCATTCTAAAAAAAAGATCAATATTGTCTAAACATGTTTAACTAATGAAGATTCTCTGCATCAACTCAGAAAAGTGATCATTTTCTCCCAAATAATGCAGAGATAATAAAACACCAGGACATTTAGTCAAACTTCACAGCATTATTGATTTCTAATCAAAGCTTTTTGTTACTGGAACCTTCTGAAACTCACCATCATTCATATTCACCATCCCAGAACTATCTACTGAAAATCCTGGATATAAAGAAAACAACAAAATGAAGACAACAATATTTCTACCCAAATCATTCTGCCGAAAAGGGAGTTTTGCCTTTTAGTCATTCTTTACAAAGATTCTCATATTTCTGGTTCCCCTCCTATTCACTTTAGTTTAATAGTCAAAGTACTCTGGGAAAGATACACTGGCCTCAAACAACCTCCATATATATTAATTTTGACTTTAAAAAAGTCACCTGACAAGATTAGTAAAATAAAGTAGGCAAAAAAAAAAAAGTACTTTTACATATGGATATAGTTGTAAACAAGCCTGTTAAAAAACTTTTAAAGCACTATAATATTAAGTGTTGTAGATCATGAAATGTACATCTACAGAATGAATTTTTTAAAATACTTTCCAAAGGCATAAATAAGTTCTTGGAGCTTAAGATAACATTTCCTGAGACAACAATAATCATGAATTCAAAAAATGCTACATCTGAATAAAAAAACCCAAGCCCATAGCTGAAAAGTCAATTCCAACTCATAGGGACCCTACAGAACAGAGTAGAACTCCCCCATAGGGTTTCCAAGGCTATGACTCTTTACAGAAGCAGACTGCCATATCTTTCTCCTACAAAATGGCTGGTGGATTCAAACTTCCAACCTTTTGGTTAGCAGCTGAGCACTTAACCACTGCACTACAGGGCTCTTTTCACATCTGAATACTTGGATGGAAATAAAATGATGTACTCTGGAAATGTCTGGTACATAATTTTAAACGTGCTTTAGTGATGACATGACCGTTAATGTCAAAGGCACATGCGGAATGTTTGAATAAAGTGTTTTCATAAATTAAAAGTAAAAAGAAAGGAACAAATGTAAATTAATATGAGACTATAAACATTTGCAACAAATTAATGAATATTAAAAATGATTCTCCACATTCTGAAAATTTGATACTAAAGCATTCAGTATTTGTTAATAGATATAATCATGCTGTGTAACATTCTTTGGATTCATCAATTCACTTCATAAATGTCAGTCAGCATGAGGGGGTAATCTGGCAATGAGTGTAGAGTCACTGATCTGACACTGGAATATCTGGATTTCCCTACATTCACAGAGCACAAGTGAGTATAAATCATGTCTGTTCTTGTCTCCATCTAAAAGTCCAAGTTAGTGAAGCACCAAGAGAAACTCAGTATAAAGCAATGTCCACCGCAAAGTGGTCCCACGGCCTAGACTCTGGTCACTGTCACAGGAAGGTGTCAGCCATATCTGCTTTCACGCTCACACTTATGAACCATGGGCTCTATGCTGTAAACACTCCCACACTTGCGCCAGAGGGTGTTGCATAGAAAAATACAGGCAAGAAGTTGAGTGACTGTCTTTTGAGGTACTACAGGAAAGCTTTATCGGAAAATTAACACAGAAGTAGTGAAACTAATAATCCACAAATATCTTTGACATTCAAATGGACTAGTAGACTAACTATAGTAAAATTATTTGAACAAATAGTTTTGTAAGAAAATTTTCATTATGTGGAAAAAAATTGATCAAGTTTGCATTTTTTCTATTACTCTATTTGAAAGATCATCATTGCTGTATACATACTTCTGCTTATTAAAACATTTGCTTTGCCTTGAGATTATTCCAAAGGAGAAAATACATAAAAGTAAAAACAAACATGAATTGAAAAGTGAAAATATTCTGTACCTGAGAAATCTGCTGCTAAGAGATCTACTGCTTTTAAAACTTTCACTTGTAAAAGGCCGATGTCTTTCATATCTTTCAGGGAGTTCTGTAAGCACTGAGGGGGAGAAAAGGAGATCAAAAATGAAATTCACTTCCTAATATACCAATTAATGTCATAAAGTCCTGCAGGAAGTACAGTCTAGATTCATGTTCACCTTTATCACTAAGTTCTTTAGAAAAGCTCCAAAAATACATTATGTCAATTAAGAGGACAGTGAAGCATTCACAGCTGCCTGATTAAGAGAAAAGTGGCTGAGAGCTAATTAACTACAGTGTCAAAATAAATTACAAACACATACAATTTCCTTTGAACATTGCCTCCTAGGCAAGGTATGTGGAACTACATCCATTCCCTTTCTTCCCTTCTTTCTCATAAATGAAAAACGTGAATCACCCTAAAAGGGTAAATTATTCTAACCCAGTGTGTACAAACTTTATAAATACCAGATGGATAAACTTAGACCCTTCACAGATACTTCTGAACACTGGAAAGACAGTAGGACGGAAATAGAGTGAATTTTCTGCTCTATGCTTTAGCCAGTTGATTAAATAAGAGACTGAGTATCTATTACCACATCGTTCTCACGTTGCCTTTAACCTTTCCTTTCATGAGCCAAAGCTTTAATATTGAAAATTCTGTCTTTTAAATAATATTGCATTGTGTTTTAGGTGAATGTTTACACAGCAAATTAGGTTCCCTTTTAACAATTTTTATACAGATTGGTCCAGGCCATTGGTTACAGTTTTCATGATCTGTCAGCATTCTCATTATTTCCATTCTGTCTGCTCTGCTTCCATTGATCTAGCTTCTTTTCCCCTCCTTGCCGTCTCATCTTTACTTTTGGGTAAATGTGGACCGTTTGGTCTCATTACAGTTAATTTTTTAAGGAGAACATTACTCATGGGTGATGTTGTTTATTTTATAAACCAATTTATTATTTGGCTGAAAAAAGACCTTCAGAAATAGTTTCAAGTTCAAGTTCAAAGGGCATCTTAGGGCAATAGTCTCAGGGGTTCCTCTAGTCTCTATTCGTCCAAGTAAGTCTGGCCTTTTTTAGGAAATGGAGTTTTGTTTTATGTTTTTCTCCCATTCTATCCAGGAACTTCTACTGTGTCCCTGTCAGAACAGTCAGTAGTGGTAGCTAGGCACCATCTAGTTCTTCTGGACTCAAGTTAGTAAAGGCTATGGTTTGTGTGGGGTATTAATCCAGTGGAGTAGTTGGAGTAGTTTCTTCTTTGAGACTTTGATTTCCTTCATTCTCTTTTGCTCCATACAAGACTAATAGTTGTATCTTAGACAGCCGCTTGCAAGCTTTTAAAACCAAACGAGGATGTAGAACATCATCTTTGTGAACCGTGTTATGCCAATTGACTAAGTGGTCCCCCAAGACTAAGGTCCCAAGCCTTTCAACCCAGTAACCAATCCCATGAGATGTTTGGATATATCTAGTACACCTTCATAACTGTGCTCCCTATGCAGTTTGTTACATATGTGAATATATATGCAGCACACACAAAGGTGTACATACATATGCCTATAGATACACCCATAACGTGCATATGCATTTACTCACATATGATTTCCTATATACGTATATGCATCCAAATCTACCTACGTGACCATACGCATTTTTTTGGTTGTTTTTACTGTTGTTGCACAATTGTAAATGTTATAGCATTTACCAAAATTGTTCCTTTTTCTTGAGTACTTCTTAGCGTCTTCATTTAGCTTGTTTAAACTGTGCTGACTTTAGCCATGTGTGGGATCGCCTTTCCCATCACCAGAAGTAGCAAGCGTCTGCTATGTAGAAAGCCATTCCCCCCTCTCTCCCTCGCATTCCTGGTAACCATCAAAGAACTGTGTTTTCTGTGTGGATATCTATTCTTGACTTATTATAATAATGGGACCATACAGTATTTGTCTTTTTGTGATTCACTTATTTCACTCAGCATAATGTCCTCCAGATTCATCCATGTTAGGTTTTGCAGATTCCTCATTATTCTTTATAGTCTCATAATATTCCATGATATGTATGTATCAGAATTTGTTTATCCATTCATCCATTGATGGGCACTTAGGTTGTTTGCATCTTTTTGCTGTCGTGAATAGTGCTGCAATGTGGTAATTCTTAAGCATATATAGTAGTATTGATCTAGATGTCTAGGCACGTGGCATCCTTAAGAAATTGTACATGAAAGGTATAAGCAGATATACTTTTCTTGCCTCCAGAACACATCCATGGTGCGGGGAGGGGGGTCTGGTTTAAAACCTTCAAATAGATTGTTTCTGTCATCCTTATATAGCTGCAACCATGTGACAAGGAGGCCCCAAGGATTAATGGAAGGATAGTAAAATCCTTATTTAGTAATTTCAGGATAGAATAACTAAAGCTTAATAATAATTAAGGTTTGCCTAACCTAATTATAAGGATCCCTAATGGTGCAGTCGTGAAGCGCTCGGCTGCTAACCGAAAGGTTCGCAGTTCAAATCCACCAGCTGTTCTGTGGGAGAAAGATGTGGCAGTCTGCTTCTGTAAAGATTTAAAGCCTTGGAAACCCTATGGGGGGGTTCTACTCTGTCCTATAGGGTCACTATGAGTAGGAAACAACTAGATGGCAATGGGTTTGTTTGGGATTTAACCTAATTATGCATCAGTCCTAAGGGCTTTTGAAAGTTGTTTCTCCTCTGCATTTTCAACCTGGAAAAAAAAAACCTAAAGTTTTTAAGCTAAGATGAAAACATTTCAAATAAAACACTTCTAGTGTTTTAGAGGTAAATGTGACTTTAAATATGTTCTATTCTTATAAGCAAAAAACAAATCCAGAGGTCTGTAGCTTTCTTGGGCTTACACTGCTCCAAAGTGGCATAGTGAGGACCCAGCGCTGCTTTCACTTGGGAATACAGCGTTCTTTTCTCTAGCATGCCACACTGGCCAACTTGCTAGCTAATGCTGGAGAAACACTTGATATTTCCATTTTGATTATAGCCTCCCTCAAATCTCTTTTCAATTGTTTTTGTTGTTGCTGTGTGCCGTCGAGTAGATTCCGACTCATAGGGACCCTATAGGACAGAGTAGAACTGCCCCATAGAGTTTCCAAGGAGCAGCTGGTGGATTCGAACTGTGACCTTTTGGTTAGCAGCCTGAGCTCTTAACCACTACTTTTCAAACCCTGAGGCATTATTCAAAGCAGCCATTACAATCTAATCTCATGTTAGTTATAAATACAGGATGCTCCTCATGAATTTGGTAAACTTTGCAATTTATCCATGGGAAAGTTTGGGGAAAAGTTTTAGTTTTCACCATGAAATATTCATTTGCTTAACTAAAGTCTTCAGAGAGGGTATTAATGGTGAATTTTGTTGAGGCTCCTTCAGAGTACACCAACATTCCACGCAGAATTTGTGTTGACGATGGGACGTGTGGCTAGGTTTTATACTCGCAAAGATAAAGAATGATTCAATTAATCAATACATCTGCCCAGCGGAGGGCTCTGGAGGCACTAACGTTTATGCTAAGAACGATATTCCCACTGAACAGGGATTCATCTTTGCTTAATTTTCATGCCACTTTCTTAGACCATGCCTTTCATGTGTGGCAATAAAATAAACTTATTGATTTACATAGAAGACAGGATAAACACAGAATGCAAATAAAGGTACCGAGAAAGCCAGACTACAAAAATGAACGAAGAGGACAGGGCTATTCAATTTTAAAATGCTGAGTGGACTTCGAAGCACATTGCAACTACTTAGGAGAAAATCACATATGGCTATTATCATCCAGGATAGTATACATCAGCATCCTTCACGTCCGTTTACTGCTTTCCTTTACAAGGCACGAGTGCTTTCTCTCTTGATCCCAAAAGGCTCTGGAAAGGTGTCTTATAACATTTCAAGCATTAGTGGTTGGTTAAAAAAAAAAAAAATCAGTTACTTATGTGAACTTATATTAAAATCCCTATTCACCCATACAGACATGCCCCAGAATAGTTTGCTTCCTTCAAGATTTCAATTTTCTCCAAAGATTTCTTAAAAGCTACAAGTTCAAAAGGTCTTTTTGCTTTAAAAATAGCAAAGCAAACTCCAGTCAAATTTCAGTTCCTCACTAATACATTAGCCTCTAGGTCTCATGTCGTGTTTTATGAAATATATAATTAAACTTTGGACAAACATCTCTTTTTATGCAATTGTTCAGTTCATAGACTCGGTTTCAACTTAAAAAGAGGGGTGGTTGGAAGGGAAGTAACCAGCAAAAGCACTCACATATCTCTGGGCAATCTGCTTTCTCTCGCTGGGGTCCGCCAAGGGGCAGACGCATAGATCAGAGACGGAGACCCCTGTACAGGGCGTGAGTGTGACCAGCATCAGGATCGTCCCCAGGCAGCTTTCCAGTGGCAACTCCAGGCAGTTGGCTTGCTTGACAGGGAGTGCCGCGATATCCACTTTACACCTAAAATATTTTGATGAATCGGAGAGAGAAGAGTGATTAACTCAAGGCCACTTCAGAACCACCAAAGCACCTGAATTTTATTTCATCCTTCCAGAAACCTCACTCTGTCTGGCTTAGGTTTATTGCTGAGGGTCCCCATAGGGCAGTGAAGGTTGCAGGTGTCCCCCAGCTCGTAATACTCAGTCCCAGTCTAACACGCTCTAAAATTAAGGAGAGGGAGGTAAAGAAAATAAAATAGAAGGCAGCATCTGGGGACAGCAATGAAAAGAGAAGAGCAGGGACTTTGCCAAACCAGTACTGCAAGAAAGATGATGAGATCAAGAATCGGTGAGGAAAAAAGTTTCAAAGTTGAAGCATTACTAATGAATGTTCTCTATGGCTTCTCTGGGCTGTCTTTCAATGAGTTAGGAGAATAAAGAAGCAAGGTTCAAAAAGAAGGAAAAAAAGACATGAGAAGTGCAAGAGGGAGAGGCCAAATGGGGAAACCATTTTTTTCCCAGTTAATGCCAACTGGCGAGTTTTTATTTAAAGCAACGTGTTAAGGTGTTTCCCTAATAGGCACAGTTCCGTAGGGTGCCCCCAGGTGGGTTTCTTTGGGACAAATGCAGCATGAAGTGCTGCTGATTGATCCCATTTCTGCAGCTCCACCAGAGAAGGCTGTACCCATCTGCTATAAATTGCATGTTTTCCGCCTCTTAACAGCCAATGTTCTGGGGATGTTGAAAACCTCAAACACGTTTAAATACAGAAGCAAACACTACAAAAGGGAGCCAAGGTACTGAGGCATTTATTTGCTTTACCATTGAAAACTCGGGGTTCGCCTGGACCAGACCTGCTTTGTTTTTGTACAGTGGTGAGGCAAGAGGGTTCCAGCGGAGGGGGCAGGAGGCAGGGAGTGGTAGTTCCTTGATGTAATGTTTTTTATTTATTGTTTTAATGCTAATTTGACCTCCATAATTATTGAATACTATGAATTGACTCAACAGCAATGGGTTTTTGGTTTTATGAATATAAAAGACTTTAAAGCAGGAATGGAAACACTGACTCTCACAACACAGACAAGGATGGATACTTATGCTAAACTCTTCGATGGACTTTGTAGATGATGAGAAAGAGGTACAGTGGCATCTTACACAAAGCAATAACAACTCCAAGCCACATGGATATGTAGGTAAACACTTCTTATTTAATGAATTTGAAAGAAAGCTTGAAAGCCCCCTCCCAATTAAAATGAAATAAATAAATAAATAAACATCTACACCAGCTTTTTCTACAAGATCAAACACATTTTTAAATGCCGATTTGTGCTTATAAAATTAAGAATACATGACTAGTTATCAATTTCCTAACTGTCAAAAGTGTTCCCAGTGAGAAGAGCAAATAAGATGAAACCTTTGCATGTCATAAATTCCTCAAGTATTTGGAGATAGTTTGCAAAAATACATCTTAGGAAAGAATTCTCTATGATTTCAATGAAAACAATTTTCTTTCTGTAGCAATGAGGAACCATTTTAAGTTAAAGTTTACTGATATCTATGAAAAGAAAGGTTACTAAATATTTTTATTCAAGTAAGTACGTAAGTGGGGAATAAATTTGCCTGAAAAAAAATTTCAAGTGTTTTAATTATGTCATTTCAACAAAATTAAGTACCAACAAATTCTTAACCAAGATTGCAGCAATATATCTTCTTAGGAATACTTTGCTAAGCATTATTTCACATCATTACATACACTTTCACTTAACAAAGCTATTTCTTGTGGAAAGATGAACGATCCAAATTTGTTAAGAATTTTCTCTGGCGATAACTTCAATTAATCCAAATTAGTAATAAACTATTTAGAGCACATTCCTTTTAATACCATTAATAATGGTATTATATTTTTGTCCTTTTAATGTTTACCTTTTTTATCATGGTGGTAGTTTTGTGTGTTTTTTGAACAGCTAAAGGTTATTTAGAGACAAGGGCTGTAGCAGCTAATAGTGCTTAGGTAGAGAAACAATGCATAATTAGGCAATAATAAAACTCTTCTTGGATAATTCAAAGCGGACCTGGCATTAATTCTAAAAAGTTGTCTAAAACTGCCATGAGCAATATCAAAAAGAACTAAACCCATTGCCGTCGAGTCGATTCCGACTCATAGAGACCCTACAGGACAGAGTAGAACAGCCCCATAGGGTTTCCAAGGAGCGCCTGGTGGATTTGAACTGCCGACTTACAGGTTCGCGGCTGAGCTCTTAACCCCTGCGCCACCAGGACTCTGCGGGCAATATTAGCATATTTAAAATAAGTTTGCAAACTCTTCTGGTGACTGTTTTAAGGCACATCTTACTGGAACAGAGCAGTTTATTATTTTTAAACAAAAGCTGATCACATACCAGTCAAAATGCAAAGTAAATATTGGGATTCTTCCCAGAAATGACACATCTTCACAAACTTTTCAGTCATGTCTGCCCACTGTGAGACTTTTGCACCTATCTCATGTTAAAAGATTCAGATAACTAGAAAAGAACACTTGTGTGAAAAAACGGCCGTGACTATTTTCAATATAAGGAGTCCTTGGGTGGTATAAACAGTTAAGTGCTTGACTACCAGCTAAAAGATCGCGGGTCCAAACCCCACTCAGAAAGGTCACAGCCTTGACAGCAACTGTTTTTTTTTTTTTTTGTTAATCATTACTGTTATTATTTAAGATATAATAGCCCCATAAGCAACAGGTCAAGATTTCAGGACCAATGCAATGGATTCAAAGCAATACATTATCATTTAACCAACTACTGAATTCATCCAAATATTCATGTTTACTTTCTTAATGACTTGAAAGATGAAATTAAATTGATATATCAGCATGTCAATAAGAACTAAACCTTAGTCCTTTTACCCATGGGTCATGACCCAGGCATTTAAGAGTTCCCGCTCCACCATGTGAATTGATGTCTTAAGTCTTAAGAAATAATTTAAAGTTACCCCTCTCCCTAGTTGTAACAAGCAGCTCCCCTATAAAGAACGCTTTCTATAAACTTTCTACAAATGAACCGCTCTCTGCATCTCTTCAACCCACCTGGCTTGTCCATCTATTTCCACATTCTGGAAGCAAGGAGAAAGAAAAAATCTATTTCACAAAGGACCCTCTCCCGCAGGCCTCACATTTTACCCTATTTCCACCTCAGTCCACAACTCCAGTTCATCCTAAATTTTCAAAGAGAACCAGAAACTCTGAAGACTAGCTACACCTTGGAAGAATTATTACTCGTTAACTCAAAGCTAGGGAGGGGCCACTACACTGTCGGCCAAAGCAGCAATAGAAAATAAATTAAAATGGATTTTTTTTTTGTTTTTTTGGAAATTTCAGGCAGTTTTACTTCAGGTAAACTGTATGTAATTTTGGTAGGAATCAATTAAACACAATGGCTTTTTGTGGCTTTTTTAAGGTTGAAATAAAGATAAATGGGCTAAAACCTAAAATCCTTAAGATGTAAGTTTACTGAAATATATTCATCAGAGACAATTTTAAGTTAAAAATGTTGAAAGGAGAATCCAGGATTTTCTTCTTCCATTTTCCATTATTGTAGCACATTCTACTCTGTGAAAATACTAAATAACTCAGTTGGTATCTTAATTCTTTCTAGTTGCTACTGAAGCATTGCAAACTCGGTTGCACTTTTCCAAGGTTTGCTTGCATCTGTTCAGATACCTGCTATGGGCTGGTATCAAAATGCCTTGGAGAACCATGTAGAATGGGCCAAGACTTCCAGGCAAATCAAAATACCACCTCCCACTCTCTCCCCTCTCATTCATCTAAACACTAGTCACTCATTGTCCAATTCAGTAATTTCACAGATACTGTTAAACATCTTCTTTTCCCCTTCTTCTTTCTCATTTGCATCCCCTAAATTTTCTCTTAAACCTTACACAAATGGCAACCTTCTATGAACATTTATGAAAAGTCTGCTTATTAGTGTGGATACAATTTTCTTTAAAAATTAAGCTCAGTGTTCAGATACATAGTTTAAAAGGCTATCATAATGATTTTTTTTTTCAATTAGCATTAAAAGTAACACTAACATTAATAGATAATAGGCTTTTTTTGTGAAGGGCCAGAGAGCAAATATTTTCACTTTGTGGGCCATTCAGTCTCTGTCATAACTAACTCTGCCACCATAGCATCAAAGCAGTAATAGTAACCTAAACAAATGAAGGAGACATTGTTCCAATAAAGCTTTATTTACATAAACAGGCAGCCAACTGGATTCGGCCCCAGGGCTCTAATTTGACAACCCCTGATCTAGAGAAATGCTAATAATTTAGTTGTGGTGAATTACACCAACTGAAGTATTAAAAAAAAAAAAAGAAGAAGAAGAAAAATCTACAAGTTTGGTTTTATAGCACTAACGCATTTATGAAAGTATCAGAGATACTAACCTAAGAATATATTTTTTTGAAAATAACTCTTAACTCACCATAACCCAAGAAATGCTGGCCAATATATCCAATAATCTGTTTGCTAATAAAAACTGATAAAGCAATAAAACTTAAAATATTGCTCTGCTATGTGACAGAAACAATGTGAACAACACACTCAGAGCACTTGTGAAAGAACCGTGCTGAATGAGCACTCACAAAGCAGGTCTATTCCCCTGGCAACGTGTGTGACTTCACATGTGAATGGGAGGGACTGTGTTCTGACAATCACTCAGAAAGGGCTACACATGGACTCCTAGGTGATCAGAAAATGACCATTCCAATGTGAGATCTTGGCACATTCATTCCATAGGAGCTCCACTGTGATATTAAGATTCAGAGGATGGAAATAAAAATAGCCAGGTCTGTGTCTGCGCCTAGAGAGGAGCCGCCATTTGTTCATTTGCATGAGATGGAATCCAGTGGCTTTGTGACCTCACCCCCGCCCTTCTCTCCTGCCTTACCGCCTGACAAAACCCACCTTCCCCACTCCTTTCAGTTGCTCAGAGGTAAGCGCTCCCTTTCCTCTGGGCGTTCGCT